CGGGGTGCCTGTTTCCTCCCTGCTGGGGTCGGGGGGGGGGAGCCAGTCCATCAGCACATGGGAAAGGGAAGCACCTGGGGTCCGGCTCTCCCTTTGCCCCCATTTTTAAATAAAAGCAGTGATGACAACAACTGATCATACAAATATTAAGTAAAAACAACAATCCGGCATTGGGACCCAAAGACTGAGGCGTGATTATTTTCAGCTCAAGTAATTAAATGCACCAACTGCAGTGCCAACCCTCTCACGATGTTTAAAGAGCTTTAATAGAAAATATAAGTTAGCTTTTAAAAAAAAGTAATAAATCCCCACCCCCAAATGCCCCTAAAATTGGCTCTGCTATATATAAACTTACGAAAAGAGCCAACCTTAAAAGGGGCAGTAAGCACCGTGCCATGGAAACGGGTAGAATATACCAGCCAATACGGGACTTGGCTGAAATCCCCCATTTTAATTGAAGATTATTTTTAAGAATTATGTCCTTTGTTCTGTATGTTTTACTTCTTTCCCAATTATTTTCTAAATTTTGGCCTCGGAAAAAGTCTTACTACCACGTTATGGGACGACGGTGCAACAAAGCCTCCAGCCTTAGCCAGCCTGACCTGTGTTTGCGCCTGAGCCTTCCCCGTGCCCTCCCCGTTCACGCCCTCACCTGGTTTGGCATTTGTCCTCCCTCACCCGCACTCCTTACACCTCTGCGCCTCCCTAATGAGGGGAACAACCGCCAAGTTAAATTGCAGCACCCCAGGGGAGCGCGCCGTCACGGCTATGGCTTCATTAACTCGGAACGCTGCCGTGACCTGGAAGGTGCGCGAAGCCGACAGCTTCGGTGCTGCACGAGCCGGGCTCTGCCACCCCTCTGGAGCCCGACCGCGGGCACTCGGTGCAGCTGCCCCGCTTGCCCCATGCAGCCCCTGTGGTAGTCAGTGCCCACCTCCTCACCCCCACGGGCAAGGGGCCCCTCAGCCTCTGAACATCACAGCTTGTTCCAGGGCAAACGTGTGTAACCCGCTGCCGCCGGCCCTGGCCCCCCTCATCCCTGCGTCCATCCCACCTCCCTCATCCCACCGAAGGAGGGTCTGCGGCGTGTGCCGAAGGCGCTTGCTGCCGCAGCTCGGCTTTGCCAGCCCAGGCGTCCCCACGCAAACACCCTCCGCACCTAAACGTTTCCAAGCACCACTTGAGTGTAAAAGTTGGGGCCTCAAATTCGGGTGATAATTTTGAGTCATTTCAGTAAGACCTTTTCACCAAGCTCAGCCCTGAGCCACTTGCGCCACTACAGCTTCTGTTTCCTGACACGAGCAACAGCAGAGGTTTGCTCTGCCTGCCAGCAGCCCCCTGAGAGCCCTCAGGATCCATCCAGCCATCGGCCAGAGCGCCCTGCCTCGCCTTCCCCGCCTCCCTCCTGGGCGTCAGCATTTCCAGCCTCCTGCTCCTCCAGCTGCTGAGGGAGGAAGACCAAAGGAAGGCAGAAGCTGCATGTCTTTGCACAAGCACAGCTGTAAAATAATACAAGCCCGTGCTTTTACTGGAAAAATGTGAGTCTAATTAATAAAGCTGCACTGGCTGCCACACAGGAATGCTTGCTGAGCACCTGCAGGTATAAACAGGAATATAAACTTTCCCAAATACGGCTCCAATCAGAAACAAATGGATTACTGTCTTTTACAAAGCGCTCTCCCAACCTGGAACGCTTTCCGTGCTGTTGGAGGCCAGCGGCTGTAACCCTACCGGCCCCTTCCCCGACCAGAAGGACCCTCCCCGTGTTACGAGGCAGGTGCCCCTGAGTTATGAAAACTCGCTTTATTCCAGCCTCCCCGCCCAGCCCACCACCCGGAGGTTTGCAAACCATTCCCCGCAGGAGTTCTAATGGCGCCTTTCTCAGCCCCCGCCATTAGCTGTTTACCCCCCAAACATCACTTCTTTGGCACGACTTCCGCAGTGACCTCACTCGCTTTCCATGCAGGAAAATTTCATGTTTGGGAAACTGGATTATTGGAGGATTTACTTTTCTTTAACAGTGAAAGTGGTGCTCAGGCTGCTGAACAGCTGCTCCGGCACAGGGGCAGCAGGAGGAAGGCTGCGTTCACGGGTGGACTCCTCCTCCAGCTCGCCGGCTTCTTGGGTGGCCACTGGCAGGACCGGCTGGGCTGGGTCAGAGCAGCAGCTGGCGAGTCTTCTCATATGTCCCCAGGAAGATGAAGCCTCCCAGGCTGATGGCTGCCATCCGCGGGACAACACCTGCGAACAAGCTGAAGGCAAAGGAAAGGGAGGTTTCAGAGGATGGAGGGAGAACGGATGCTGCAGGGCTGGCTGCAGGGGCTTCGGAAAACTAAGCCAAGAAAAATTCTCTCTTGCTGGTTCTTAAATCCCACCCCGCTGCTCACTGAAGAAACCTGTCTGGGCTTCCCTGACAGACACTCCCAAACCTTGTGATTTTTAACCCCTCTCCACGCTCCTCAGGTGAAGAAGCAAAGGTGCAGGAGGCTACAGGCCACGTTACGGAAAGAGCTCAGATGCATCCCCAGGAAGGGCTGCAGGCAGATGGGAAGCATCCCATCCTCCGCTGCCCCCATCCAGCCTCGGCAGAGGGACCCCCTTTCTCTGCCAGGAGCTCCCCGACTGCAGACAGCCCTGCTCACCACAGTGGCTCATTCCCAATAATATCCAACGGGGCCAGCAAGGAGGGAGCAGGAATAGCTGCACGTTTAGCTGCCACGATTTTTAGGGGCCTGATCCTAACAGTTCTTGGAAGTTAACAGGAAACTTGTGCAAAGCCAATTGCTCGACGCATCTAAGTTCATGGCTGGTTTAACAACTTCAGGATAGGCCAGTGTGCCCGTCCAGAGGATTACAGGCTTCCTTCACTGCAAGCAAGGATTAAACACTAGGCTCAAGTCTGTTTGGCATCTCCCCGCTGATCTATCACCCGCACAGCAGAAGCACCTCCGGCTGAGCTCCACAGGGATGCTGTCCTCAGCTTTTGCCTGAATCTTGCACGGTCTCCGCTAGCAGCGTGTCCACAGTGGGATGAGGTGCAATTCCCGGTGAGACCAGGGAGATGCATGTACCCCCAGGGCTGCTCAGGAGCTCCCTGCTCCTCTGCCTGCGCCCGGCTGCTCACACTGCGCTGGGGAAACCTCTGGCTGCAGGAACTCTGGTTTGCGTTGTAATGAGCTTTGCTAAGGAGCCTGGAGCACACAGGCAGATGGAAACATTTTATGGCTTTACTAGACAGCAATTGGGTCTATTACCATAATGACAGCTTTAAAACAGAGTAATTTGTCCAAGGCATGTATGGACAGAGCGCTGATAGGGTAAATCCCACAGTGCAGCATCGCTCTGGAAATGCGCCCCATCCTTCTCCTGCCGAATTAGGCAGCCGAGCAGTGGCAGACAGCCCACACGAGACACAGCTATTACACAAACAGGGCAGATAACCCAGTTACCCAGAAGCTGCATCCCTGGCAACCTCTATTACTAACCATCACTTCCAAGAATCCCGGCCCTGCTCTCCCCAATTTCCCTTTCCCACCTCTCCCAGTCCACGCTTCCCCCACCGGCTCCCTTCTGCAGGAAGGGAGGGCTGAGTGGCTCGGGGGCTGCCCTGAATCTGGAGCGCTGAGCAGCACTGCAGCCCTGATCCAAACTGGTCCCCACTGGGCTCCACCTGCCCTCATCAGCAGATGAGATCAACTGTTTTTTTTTTCTGCTGGCCGCATCAGAAACCACTCTGGTGAGCACAGGTCTGCTGTCTATTTGTATTTGCTCCCTGTTTGCACTGATTCACCTGTCACTCCTCTCTCCCTGCCTGGGTTTTTCCCTTTAAGCAACTCTCCCAGTTACTGGTCGGACCCAGCACCAAGGGCTGGAGGGCTTCACCACTGCCTTCTCACCACCAACAGCTGCAATAGGTGCACAGCGTGTCAGTGACTGGCAAGGACCAAACGAAGGCCCTCAGGCACAGACACATCACGCTCTCCCCAGCCGCGCGAGGAATGGCTCAGCAGGAGTCACAAATCCTGGAATCACATTTAAATCCCAGGGTGAGCCCTGGCTGCAGGTGTTAAACCCGCACCGTGTGCCCTCTCAACCTGCCAGCACCATGATCCCCTGCCCTCCGGGGTGCAGCTCTTCATTTCAGGGATCCCAACCCAGCAATACACCCAGTCCCACAGTCCCAACAGGGACCACAACTCCGCAAAACAAAGCAAATTCTTTCTCAACAGAGAATAACCAGGACTCCTGTCTAAAGTTAACCTTTGGAAAAGGCACTGTGGTGCCTGGACACAGCAGAGGGAGGCCAATGCTGGAAAAGGTGCTGTGTACTTGGCCACAAAACCTCCATATTTGCTCCTGGGCACAGGGGCTGCTTTCGCCTCTTTCATTGGCACGATCCAGCAATGGAGAGCGGTGTGGTTAGTGCCCACTGTGCCATGTCCACCTCAACCGGCAAGTTCGGCCAAGGAATGCAAATCACCAGCTCCATCCCCAGCTACATGCAAGCCAGGACAAGTCAACTAGACAATCTTTAAGGTCCCTTCCAACCCAAACCATTCTATGATCTCATCGGATTTATCAGTCAAACCACCTCGTCCTCCTCACCAGCAAACTGTGAAGCTCCATCCTCATCTTTCAAACGCCACCACTCCTTGTGTGAAAAGCGGTCGGACAAGATGTAAACCTGCTTTCATGCGAATGACTCGTCTACCATGCTGGCAAGAGTGGAGAGGCGCAGGGATCCGCTCACCCCATCCCTTTCCTACCTCCCGTCACAGGCCTGGCTCTCCCCGGACAGAAAGGGATACAAAATTCCTTGGCGTGAAGCAGAGGGATTTACAAGGTGCGAACCAGGAAGCTGAGCCCTGTGCTCTGGTTTTAATAAGGTGGCAATAAGCAACGTGTCTTTCTGCCCTCAGAATTCCTCCTCTTCAAGTATGAGATTTATTAGAGGAGCCATAAATCATTTCATGTTGCAACTGGCCAAAACAGCCCGACATTTTTATTGTTTTTGATTAATAGATTTATAATTGGCAGCAGGCATGGCAGCCTCCGCGTTTATTTTTCCCAAGACTTTCTTCCTTTTCCTCGCAGCTGACGCAGCTTGGCCTCCTTCACATGTTACTTTTTCTCCAGATCGCGTATTGTTTTGGTTTCATTGAATTGTGTTCCCTTTGGTCCTAGTCCACGGGTACTATCTTTAGGCAGAGTTTAATTCTGGGTTGTTTAGAAAAGGGCACTGCTGAAACACCCTGAAAAGAACACAAACTCACATTTTTATTTTGTGCTGGGGGGAGATTTCCCCAGCCAAATCCGTGCCTCTTCACACCCTTCAGAGCTCAACTGCCATCAGCAGCAGACGTGGCCTCACTTCTCCCAGCCCCTTTTGAAACAGGCCTCAGAGTCCACCAAGCTACGCAGGACCCGAGACTCAACCACTGCCAGGTCACCTCATCATCTCAAAGCAAATCCGAGTCAACCCATCCCTGAGCGCTGCCGGGGGGCACAGCCGGACGTCTTCCTGGAACTGGTGTTCAGGAACTTCCTGCAATTTGTTTTGAATTATTTCCCACATGTGTGGAAAGAGGATTGAACTTTTATTAGTTGGGTGAGCAGAGATCAGATGTTTAAGAGAAAACTCCCGCAAAGGCGCGACGTGCCCGCTGCTTTGAGCAAGTTTACAAATGTTAAAGCAGCACCTTGAAACTATCAGCCACATCAAGCAGATCAAAAAACCTACAAGAGATTACAGTGAAAAGCCTCAAGTAAAGCTTCCAAAAAACCTCCATTTCTCTTCCAGGCCAAGGGCAGGTGGGACATAAGCTCTACTGAAGGAAGCAGGGGCTGAACCTCACAGACTGGAGGAGTTGTTTAAGACATATATTCACTCCAAGTGGCCAATAACCAGTATGACTCACGTTCAAAGGCAGTAAGGTGGCGTAAATAAAGCAGGTGTCTAAAAATCAACAATAATTTATAAGCCCATAACACCTCAAAATGTTCTACAAACCCTAGCAGAGGGCTTTTTGTTCACAACACTGCTCCAAGGTCAGAAGAGCAATTCTCCACCTCAGGAATGAGCAAAGCGAGGCAGTCAAGAGACTGGATCGACACCACCCCAGAGTTCCCCGACCAGGCAGCAGAAAGCCCAGAACATGTCTGCAGCCCGGTCACAGGAGGAAAGCAGCCCGAGAGCTGCTCTGCAGCTGCTCAGACTCACTCTTGGCACTCAAGCCTGTCTCAGAAAATGTACATTTTTGCACCAAGTGCCTCACTGGAGAAATCAAAGTGGGCACATGCTCAAGCCCAGACCTGACGGGAGGCTCAAAGGACAAGTCAGGGAGCAGACAGCTCCCGTCCTTCTGCTTCAGCTTGTCCCTGCTGCTGGCACCACACTGGCATCCTGTGCTCCCATCACACTGTACAGTAAGAACAGCAAATACAAAGGAACACTTGCTGGTGTTTTCAAATCAGTAGGGAATTGTCAGGATGAGGAAAACACTGTCCATAAGGGACACACGGCTCCTGTGTTGGCCTTCCCTGACATCTCAGGAGGGGTGATTCACACACCTCAAGATCAATTTGTGGCACTCGCTGCCACAACACGATGTACATGGCCAAAGTTTAAAGGGGCACAAAGCACAAATGCACACATTCATGGAGAAATGTCCATTAAACACAAAGCCACCCTCATCTCCGAAGCCTGGAGCTACGCTTAGACATTGCACCATGGAGAAATTCCCAATAACGTCCCATTTGTGTGCTCTTCCCTGGACATTACTCGCAGTCAGTGCTAAAGCAAGGACATTAGACCTCTCTGGCGGGACCTTCTTGTCCCTGGCCACCTGGCAGCTGCTCCCTGGCCATGTGTACAGCAATTAAAGTCTGTTCTGTATGAGAGGATTTAAATATCAGCAGACCATCCCGTCCTCTCCCACTCCCCAAAACAAACAGAGAAACAACAGATGAAACGTGCTTCTGCAGAGTGTCCTTACCCTGACAGGCCTTGTGTCCTCCAGATGCCACCGAGGGCAGCCAGAACATTCCCACTAGCGTTGCTGGAACCAGCCTGCACCACAGAGAGAGAGAGATTGGAAACTGTTGGCAGAGAGGTTTAGTTATTTACTGAGTTCCCTGCCCCTGGTTAGTGCTACTTTACAGGAGTTACAGACATCCTAACGACGTCCTTACCCCAGGCACAGGCAAAAGCTCCTTGGCTCCAGGAATAAGGCAAAGGGCAGAAAGGGAAACTGAGGCACAGAAGAACAAAATGATCACTCCAAGGTCACAGAGCTGGTTAGTTCAGAACTGGGTATCCAGTCTTTTCTGCACTACACTCAGCTTTATGTCCAGCAGCTGACAGTGGAGTAAGAATATAATAAAAACACACTCTCAAAGCACCAACGAGTTTCTTTGCTGCTCACTACAAGAGGATTTACCTGATACTTACTTAAAAAACCACAAGTAGCGTATTGCATGTGAAAATTGCCTTGAGAGCAAAACAGAGAGCAAACAGCAGGACTACAGACAATTAAATTACATGTGTGATCTAGTTAGTGAGAGATGACTAATATAAAGATGCTGCTTGAACGCTCTCAGAACATCCCAGAGCACCGTCATTCCCTTACCAACACTGACCTGGTTGCTCAGGACAGCAGCAGACAAACAAAATCCAGTTCTTACAGTTTTATCACCACCACTATCCAAAGGCAAAGAAGCTGCAGCAGGGACAACACCCAGCAATGAGATACACAGCACAGCAACACAGTGAGTGCAGATGTGCGTGACTCGGCTGAGGAGGTGCATGTCATCAACAAGAAACACCCCTGTACTGAGGGACATGAGCAACAGGGTGAAAACCATCCACAGAAATTCCAGGATGCCTGGCCTTTGCCAACACAACAGCTCCTTTCAGGGCAGGGAAAGGCTTTAGGAATATCTGCCTGATGAGGGCTTCTAGCTACGTGGCTGCTGAGCTCTGCTCTGGGTCAGCAAGATGATGACGGGAAAACTAGACTTATTAGTAATTTAACTAATTACTAAATTTACTGATCTTAGAAAGCAATCTTCCTTTTGCCATGCTTGGCAGATGTAAGCCATCACGATCTCTATGGCTTAAAATTTTAGGACAGAAAATCCAGTAACAAGCTCTCCTCAGAAAAGACACACACACACTCTCTCAAGCCCAACAATTATCAAAAAAAGAGAGGAATAAATCCCTGACGGGAAGTTTAACTTTGGGCATCTGACTCTGCGAGGATTTTCTCCTAAAGACACTGCATGAGACTCTGGAAATCTAGCACAAGCGATTCTCAGATGGCTCCTTTGGGAAAAGACCACAAGAGCAATTCAAGGAAAGGAACACAACAAGTTCTTCAGTTCTGCATGCAGTACCTGTTTGCATCTAATCCTGCCTTCGAGGACAAGAGCAGAAATCATTAACAGGTGCTGGATTTCATTCTGTAATGACCATATGGAAACCCTGGAATTACCCAAGCCATTCACCTGCATGCCTGCTGGCCTCCTTTGCTCTTACCTTTGCCAACATAATCCTAGTCTTCGCTACATCCAGAGGTGTGGTGACTGCAGCTGCAAATCCACCTGAGCAAATTAAAACACCAAATACAAGTGAGACCTTGTTGGGTCAATATGAATGCCACACTGCCTATAATTCCCATGACTGTGGTCAACACTGCTCCATTATTAATGCCTACAGCATGTTTCCTCACGCCAGAGTCCAGGTACCTTTGTCCAAAGTCACAGAGTGTTTTATTCCTGCGTGTTGACTTAAGGAAACCACCCTATACCAGTTAACCGTAAATCCAAACATCCCCATTGAGATTATCATCCCTTTGTTTTAGACTCTGTACATATATGAACATGCGAAGGTCGTACGGATAACAGAATCTACTTCCAATATCTACAGACAAGTTTGGAAGGAAGAACCCTCTTACTCATTTGCAGAGATGGGAAAACGAGCTCATTGTTCTGTGCTCTGTCTTGAGAATTAATTCTGACCATTCCAATGCTTGAAAGATAGAGAGAAAAGATGCTCTACATCTGAAATACACAGGCTTCAGGGGCAGAGCTATCCACAGGATACAGACAGACTGGATCTGGACTCCAACTATTAGACCTGGGACTGTTTCAAGGAAAAAGACAAGGCAGCGTTTGGGATGGAGCTCATCTCCAACAAATGAAATTACCTCCATTTTGGAAAATAACAACATGAAGCTGCCCAAGGGTCTTTGAAAATTGCCAGAAGTCTGCTGCTACAAGTGCCATCGTCTCCTCACAGGCGTTTCTACTCTCTCTAATCACTCCCAAACTTCACCCTTGGAGCTCATTACTTTCACTCGGAGCAGCCAGCTCAGCTGTGGCTTTCTTCCTGAAAGCCAGAAACCTTCAGCTTATCCATCTGCATGTCTCACTCACAAATGCATGTGTGTCTGTCTCCATATTTTAACCCTGTGGCTACAGCCTGGCCTCTCATGCTACCTAGGGACCAGCTTTGCTGCTTTTTCTCCCAGGCTCTTATTCCCTTTGCCTTATTTCCCCATCCTAAAATTAACTCTCATCTCTCTCTCCCTCCTCTGTTCACAGCATTTCAAGCAAGTAATTCATGCTGAGGAAAAGCCAAAGTGAAGGAAAATTTTAAAATGCAGGAGCAGCCCAGCAGCAAGTTAAGAAAGAAAGGGGAAGAAAGGGGGAAAGAAAAGAGAGACGTGTTCTGAAATCCCTCTTTCTTCTTCCTCCTGTTTTTTTCCTCTTAAGCTTGTATAAATCCTGTATCTGCTACAGCAGGGAACAAAGTGACTTCAAAGACTGAAGCCCACACAGTACCCAGGGAATAAGCTAAAAATAATCTATTTTTTGTTCCAAGCTTTATGGAATGTAGAAAAATTGATCCCTCTTTTCTTGGGATGGGAGAGGGGAAAAGTATTTCTTCTAAAATCTGTAAAATAATGAAAAAATCCATCCTCCCCACTGGCTCATGTTTTTACCTGCATCTCTCTCTCTTGATTTAACATATTAAACCCCTGCTTTATGTCAGAAAGGAGGCTGGGCCAGCTGGCACCTCACGTTTGCCTTCTTACAGTTAATTAAGGAATGTCCCATGACAGCTCAGGAGATGCAGTAAGGCACATGTGCAGTCCCTTGGATCTCAAACAAGAAGAGCAGGCAAGCTGAGTTAGCCAACAGCCCCAAATGCCTGGTTGAGCAGCAGCTTCTGCTCACGTAAGCTCAGCCCAGCTGGTTCGCTCAGCCGGAAGCTTTCTAGCAGTGATACCTCACTAAAAAGCAGAAATATGGGTTGTATTCAAAAAGCTAAAGCAGAAACTATGAGCAAGTTAAACCAAATTCCAGCCCCTTCTTGGACCTTCTTTAAGGTCACAAATCTTTTTATTGTGAGCCAGTTTTTGAGTAAGTGACCCAAAGGCTTTGAGAGAATGGTCGGATAGAAACTTTGGTACTCATGTCAGCGATGTATTTTTAGAACAGTAAAAATAATCTCCATGGAAAATAGTGGCGTTACAAGTTTGGATGTAGAAGTCCTTCCTTTTGCCCACAGACCAAGATAAAATTAAACAGTGAACCACATGGCTGTCACGCCTGTATCAAGCAAAAAGATCTGGATGCATCACTCAGCTATATAGCTGATGGTAACATTTGAGTCAGACTAACTTATTTCCCTTATTGGATCCAGGTAATTTTTTTATGTATTTGTTCCTAACAGTTTCTTATTGGCAGGAGCTTCAATCCTGGATGACAGAGTGATTAGAACAAACACGATTTATCCTGATAGAATGTTCCCAAATTCTTATCTGTAAGGTTTAATCGAGGCTGATTGGGCTTCATTTTTTCACCAGCTAACATCTGGATCTTTCAGACTCTTTTGTTATTAATGTTTCAATGTTTCTTTTTCCATCACTGGGAAGTATTTGGTACAGATTTACCAATCAATTAGGAATGACAACAGCAACAATAAAATGCTTCATAAGCACAACAAGCAGCAGGATAGCGGCTAAATTAAATGCAAGTTTGTATATGCTTGACAAAACCACAAGATTAAAGCTAGTATTTGTTGGGAACTGCATTTTATTGAAGGCACTGAGTCTGATAAAATGAATTTGCTCCAGCCTTAACCCTAAATGTCCAAGGTAATTTTAGAGACACCTCTCTCTTCAATGTTAGTACACAGGTATCCAAGAACAGATTACAGCACTAGTGAGGTACTGCTCAGTCCCACCTACTCTGGGTGGGTAAAGGACCTTAAAACATGACTGTTTCCAATCATAAGATTAATACAACAGATACAAAATAGAACAGCCAGAGTCTACTCATTCAAAAGAGGAGGGCTGTGCACTGCACTGCCTAATACACAGTTAAGTCCAACA